ACCCGCGGGAGGATCCGGCCGGGCTACCCTGGGCCGCCTCGTACGAGAAGGAGGTTTGGACAAGACCTGGGGCGTCGTTGCCCCCGCCCCCCTCCGGGCCCGTCAAGGTAGAGGGGCGGCCCCAGCAGGCCGTGCCCCCCGGCTGGTGGACGCTGATGCGGGTGGGGGCTGCGGTGATTGGCCAGGACGCGGCGCAGCCCGCCTACTTCCCCGCCCCGGCGCGCTCTCCGCAGAGCCGAGGGCGCCTCCAGCTGTCCTGCAGCCGGCCAGCTCCGGGCCCGCCCGCCCGGCCACGCCCCCTGCCCAGCCCCCTTCTCAGGTTTTGCCTGGAGGTAAACTGAGGCCCTGAGAGTCCAAGGTAGGGAATGACCTAGCAGAATATAGAAAGGGAAGGAGAGGAAACCCCAGTGCACCCCTCACCTAAGCGAGCCACAGAGCTCAGACTGCGAGGTGACTTGGACAGAAGGGATTCCCCCAGGGAAACCATCCCAGCTCCAGCCCTGGTGAGAGGTTCCCAAAAGGTGGGCGGTGCCCAGGATCTGTGCTCACACCGGGATCAGCCGTTCCACCAGTACAGGAGCCAAGGCTACAACCAGGAGAGCCCCCACCCTGCATGTACCCACATACCTACACTTAGCTGCATGGCACAGCCAGACCAGACAGGAGTCCCCTGACCCAGATGTCAACCCCAGACCAGAAAGGGGTATCATGCTCTCTAGTCTAACCCCCTGGGGTTTGAGGGGCTGAGGGCTTCTCGGAGCCATGGACCTGTGGTTCAGTGAGGGGGCATCCCCCTGTACTCCCTCGGTTCTCGCAGAGTTTACCAGAGCCCAAGGCTAGGCTGGTTCACAGGGACTCTGGGACATGGGTGCAGGAGGAGAAGGCAGGACAAGCATGCAGTAAGAAGTGTGCTAAGTGTACCTGCATCTGAGACAAGCTCATCTCTCCAGATCATGGGAGCTTCCCATTCCAGGGCCCACAAATCAGGGACAAACTTATTCCTCCTGGACTGCTGGAGCTCCTCATTCCAGTGACCCCTGAATTTTATACAAGCTCATACCCCTTGACCATGGAAACCCACCCATTCCCCCAAAACTCATTGTCATCGAGTTGATTTGGACTTCTAGACACACCGTGGGTCTAAGTAAAAGGGTTTCCCAGCAACGTGTCCAACTTTACCAAAGCAGGTTGCCACATCTTTCTCCCACAGAGCAACCAATGTGTTCAAAGTGCTTATCTCTTGGCTACCAGCTAAGGGCCTGACCTCTGAGTCACAATCTGGGCAAGGTCATCTTCTTGGACGGTGGAAGCGCCCTAATCCAATACCCCTATTTAGGTGGAAACTCCCCCATTCCAATGCCCTCAAGTCTAGGACAAGAATCTGCTTGACTCCCCACACTGTTGGCCATGCTCCCTCCACCCCATCGGCCACGCCCCCCCTCCCCTCCCCACACACTTCTGGATGATTCTGAGCAACCTTGAAGGGTGGATTCTGGCTCTATTGGGCAGCTCAGCCCTGATCAAGCCCCCACACAAGCCCAGACACTTCCCCAGACTTGGCTAGTTGGTCCTGGAGTGTCAGGACACCTCCAGGCCAGTTAGTGTGGCCCTGCCTCCTTCACAGCCGCCAGGTGGGCAGGAGCTTACTCACCTGCATGGACTCCAATAAATGTACCTCTTTTGACCTCTTTAAGCCCTGGTGGGGCTGTCAGGTAAGCAATGGACTGCTAATCACAAAGGCTGAGGTTCAAAACCACCTGCCACTCCACAGGAAGAAGATGAGGCTGCCCACTCCTGGAAGGACATCCACCCTCAGAAACCCTATGCGTCTAAATCACCTCGATGGCTGTGGGTTTGTGGCCGATTTAGAAGTTAATTTCTCAAATGGCGTGGGATGGTCTTCAATTCCTTCACTGACTTCTGAGCCCACCTCTGAGTGTAAAACACTTGTCCTTTATCCTGGTGCCCCATTGGCCACTGTCATGAGGCGCCTGGTCATCCCCAGCTACCCTGGGTTCCCACCTGACCCCATCAGCGGAGGAGTGGTGAGAAGTGAGGGCAGGACAGAGAGACGGTCAAAGACAGAGCAGGAAGCCAACTGTTTCTTCACATCCGTGTTTATTACT